GATAGCCTATCCTTCGTTTGACGTTCTAGACGAGCTGCATCCTATACAAAAAAAAATTGGAGGCAAGTTTTAAAATTTATTACATATTAGTGAATACTCCACCCCAACAACTAACCTGCAACGATTGACATTCAGCATCAAATTTGCGCTGTTTCTTCTCCAACAAATTATTGCGACCATTTTGCTCTTCGAGCAACATACGCAAATCATTCATTTCATTGGTCATTTTTTGCGCTTTGCGCTTCCATTGACCGACAACCTGGCGTTGCTCCTCGACCTCCTCATAGGCATCGGAGAGCTAATTGACATCGAAAAGGCGAAAAATATTAGAAAAATTCAAAAGTACATTCTTTCACACAATTCGCCTATTTGCTTACCTTCTTCTCCAACTGTTTCTTCAGTCCGACTAGTTGTTCCAGATCGTGTTCGTGTTGGGTTTGTAAGCGTCGCTTGGTGAACTCCAGCTCACGCGCCACGCGCTCATATTTCAATTTATAAACGCCGCCGCCACCACTTTCATCATTCTCTGGATCCTCATCTTCGGATATGCCATTCAAATCGGATTTGGCACAAATCAGTTCCATTTCCAGCTTCTCGCTGGTCTCTTGCAGATTTTTCACTTTGTTTTGTTGTTCATTGAGTTCTTTTTCGAGTTTCAAACGTTCGGCTGTTTCGGCTTCGAGCCGCTCGGTGGCAATATTAGCGGTAGAGCGCTCCTCGGCGAGGTCCACCGTCATTTCGGATAACTGGAAATGAAGTTGGAGTGGAAAAAGAAATTTAAATATTTTTCTTTTCAAATACTTTATGACGGTAAATTAAAAATTTCTAAAAATAAACGCATTAAAATTTAAAATAGCTTCGCAGCTAATAATCAGATTTTAATTGTATTTTAAATTACAAGTTGCGTGGGCATCCTACATATGTATGTATGTATGTTGTTGTGGAAATTTTCAACACCTGCCCATTAGAAAATATTGCTCATAACCACCAGAAATATACTCCTACACAAACTGATTCACAGATTCATTTTATTTTTTTTGGCAAAATCTAGTGACATATTTTTGTGAATTCCAAAGTTAAGTGTCCATTGATTTTCATGCATACTTACTTACATAAATACATATATATGTAGATAGATTCATAAAAATAGAACGAAATGTTCATACGTATTTTTCCTCGTATACTAAAATCTTAGCGCATCACAGCGCTATTTGTCATGGACACATCTTTACTTTGACGCAACTTTGTTGACGCGACTGTCAATGTCAAAAACTATTAAATTAAAAAAAGGGAAATCAAAAATACTTATAAGTACACCCAGTGCATCATTTGCTGAAATTTAAACAATCATTGATAAATTCCTCAGGGTCGTTTCTAAAACATCCTTCATCCAGTTGATATTACTTTGGAGTTCAATAGCCTGACCTATGAAGCCGCTAAGGATGCCTAGTTGCCAAATGATGGTTCATCGAAGTGATCAACGAGAATATTAATAGCCCATATGTATTACCGTAATTTAGGAGTCATTATTCATTTATGAGAACACGGATACTAGGAAAGCGGGACATACATTAATGGTTCAAGCTTGCAAAAAGGTCGATTGGGAAGAAAGTTGTGGAGAATTTAAAATTCAACTGTCTCAATACAAAAAAAAATATGGGCATACCTCCGGAACTTATGATGATGCATAATTTCGTAGGTATATGGTCAAAATCGCTATACTATTTGCGTATTTTTTAAAGTAATATATATATTAAGAGTTACTGTAGTATTTTATCCGATCTGAAACAATACCCGCAATGTTGTAATCCCAAAACTAGCTACAACACCAGTGAGAAAATTATTCCTAAGCCATGTTATTGCAAAACGTACATATACACTGCCGGCAAAAAGTATTGGCACAGCGAATTTTTCACAATATATGTACCAATTTCTAATATTTTACCGCTAATTAAAAAAAAATATAGTTCATTCTACAACAAAAAACATAAAATAAAATAAAATATAATTTCTAAACTTTGTGCAAAACTCGCGAAAATTCAGTAAATTTTCATGCAAATTTTCAACTTTTCAATCAGACTTTTTGGAATTTTCTTTAGTATACAGTTTTGTAGCCCATTAAATTCTAGTCAAAAATACAAGTTCGGAGTTAGTAAAAAATCGCATTGATTTTTGAGTTTTTTTTTTTGTTGAGGGTGTTTTGCATTTTTTCTATATAAAGTATTTTCGAAAAAATTTGTGTGTATGGGAGAGACAGCGCGAAAAAAATTGCCATAAATCAACGGTAATTCCTAGCTACTATAACCGTATACCTTATTATAATAAAATTGATTGGGCTACAAATCTGCATACTCGAAAAAATTCTAAAAAAACTGATTAAAAAGTTGAAAAATTGCATGAAAATTTGCTGAATTTTCGCAGTTTTTCACAAAGCTTAGGAATTATATTCTTATGATTTTTGTTGTAGAATGAACCATATTTTGATAAAAAATTGGCGGAAAAATATAATAGAAATTGGTACATATATTGTGAAAAATTCGCTCTGCCAATACTTTTTGTCGGCAGTGTACGTGCATCGATTCTACCAGCCTTGTTTTAATAGTGCGCTGGGCATGAAAATTAAAGTGACACAAAATTGACACAATGCCATGGATTCCCCTTTGCATATGAAGAGTGTGAGCAAATTTACACCACTAGTTTTTTTCTCCACATATTTTTGTTCTTAATATTAAATAAACATTTTGGAAAATCTGTGATTAGTATGGCATGTTTCCAATTTTTCCTTTTATTTTTTTTTTCAGTTTATGTATTTTTAGCATCAGCAATAAAATTGGCCAGCGTTGCCAAAGATTGCCAAATTTATTGTTATAAGTGTGCATGCATATTAGGGTGGTCCAAAAAAAAGGAATACCAGTATTTTTATGTTTTAAAAGAAAAACTATATTTAGACCATGCCCATGAAGTTTTCCATTTAACCAATCGTTTATGTAAAATTAAAATGTTAAATTTTAACATTAACAATTTTTTATAGGTCCCCCAAAAATTCCAAAAAATATTTAATGGGCGAGATCCATACGAAATCGGTACTATTAAATAATGGTAAAATAGAGAATTGGGTAGTATTATTGGAAAATATTGATTTTCAGTTGGGATGTGACGAATAGAGATTTTACCGGATAACCGGATTCCGGATATCACGTAAAAAATCAGAGCCGGATTCGGATATCCGATCGGATATTCGGTAGACTGCTGCCCTTTATAAATTTCGCGATATTGTTACAATACGCAATTAAGAATACAAAATTTCTTCTCTGAAATCGAAGTTATAACATAATTTTGTATTAAAAATATGACTTTTCCGTCTACGACGCTGATTTACAGATTACACAGGCCTGCGAAATAAAATTTTTATTTTTTTTTTTGAATTTCTTGGTGTGTTAAATTTAAATATATTTTCTCTAGCACGTCGAGATTTTTTTTTATTGGTGACATATATATTTTAGGATTTTTAGCAATTTCCATGATAAGCCAAAAATTATTAAATTTAGACGAGAAGATCCTTTAATTTGGTGGAAGCATAATCGCCAAGAATTTCGAAATGTTTTTATACTGGCAATGAAGTATCTCTTCGGACCACCTTCCTCAGTGAACTCAGAAAGTGAGTTTTGTGTATCGGGTAGCATTTATGTTGAAAATAGAAATAGATTTTTGCCCGATAATTCGGAAATGCTTCTTTCATAATTAAAAATATTAAAACTGTTTACTTTAATTGCTAATGGTATCTAACATTAAAATGGATCCTAAACAATCAAAAAAAAAAAAATATACAAAATTTGTAAACTAGATTTTTAAATAGAATCTTCTATAATCGAAATCCGGCCGGATTTTAGCTAGTATCCGGCCAGATAGTCGGATAACAGAAAAACGGCCGGGTAAGCCGGATTCCGGATACTCGGCATATCCCTAATTTTCAGGAATTCTATACCAAGGTGTTTCTCCTCATATAAAATACCTGGAAAAATTAATGGGCTTTAAGGCCGTTCTAAATATATATTTTTTTTAAACGGTATTTTTTATTTCATTTTGAGAAATTCTAGGGGGTGATAGCTTAACCTTTTAGGACCACCCTAATGCATATTAATAATAGATGTACTTGTCATTTGATGATTGTTTCTATACTACAAAAAAAAGACAGCTAATAGCTTTAAAAGAACGCCCACAATGATACTCTGCTTACGCATATTTATGTATGAGGAATAACACGCGGACATGAGGACGAAAAATTTAGATATGCACTAATTTTTTGAAATACATTTAAAATACAATATAAAGGCCTTTCAGCGACCTAGACCGACAAATACGTATAAAAGACAAGATGATATTTATATCGTTGTTTAACTTTATTACAAAAGAAACTGTGGAATCTCTAACATAATTATGCCTTTGGCAATGAAATGATTTTTTTTTTTTGGACGGTAGAAAAATTTGGAAAATATACAGAACTTTTAATTTAATACATATATGTATGTATTTTTGCCTTGTCTTTGAGATTGAACAAACTGACTTCCAGTCCTTGATCCCAGATACGTTCATTTGTACACGGACGATTCGAGGATAGATGCGAGAGCAGATGGCACACGGTTTTCCAGGCTAAAGTTTAAGCAATTCTAGGCAAGGATCTTTGGCTACCCCTCAATAGATCGGGTGTGATTCAATTAAACAGAAATGACAACAAGCTACTCTCCGAGTACCTTACAGGCCACAACCAACTACGCTTTCATATGCACCGAAGAGGTTATCGGAGAGTCGATATGCCGGCTCTGCCTTGAGGACGAGGCAACGTCTGAACACATTATGTATATGAAACTGTCCAGCCTTGGCTAGACAAAGATAAACTTACTTCAAAACTGCAATGGTCAATTATTTCATTCAAATTCATTAGGGAAGCTGCGGGTATTTTGAGCATACAGAGTAACCGCCTCCATCATTTAGAGGAACAAAATACCTTTCAGGTCGCAGTGTCTCTTTTTATGACACACTAAGGCGAAGTATGTTGTAAGATGCCAGTCGGAAAAATTAGAAAAAAAGGATATTTTATCCTATTTCGAATCTTTTCAAGAGATGATAGGCCTTCCAAGCTCGATTCTTTACTCCTTTTTTTTGTATAGAATGGCCAGTGTTTTAAAACCTTCTCAGTCAGAAAAAAAAACTTGCCTCCAGGCACGCAGCGACTCGGCTAAATACCTGGACTATTTCCCGTATTTATTTCCGTTGCTTTGGAATTACAGCTTCTTGAGCGCCTTCGAATGATGAAGCCCTTCCTGAAAGCGTTTATACAGAAGCGCTCCGCATTTTGCCGCATTTTGAGGTGAATCTTCCTTCGTATATACATAGCTCAAGGCCACTGCCTACTCGCGCCACACGCATTCAAGATTCAAATCACTACCAACGGCCAATATAGAAAATGCATGGGGGCTAGAAGCCAAGGAAACATTAGAACATCTCCTAAGCCTATGTCTGGGGTTACCAAGAACTCAACTGAAATACCCGAGGGCCACCAAGATCGAAAAACTGGAGGATGCCTCAAGTGTAGGACTTCAAGCTCTCCTTAGATTCGTCAAGATGCGGATGTCTACTATAAGACTAAGTATCTACATTCAAATCGTACCGTGAGAGATCAAACGCAATTTTGTGACCACTGAGGTTAAGCTACCCCAACCTTATCCACTTCTGCTTGCAACCAATT